AACAGTAATGTTTGGGTGTCGAGACTCGTTTAATATTCTCAGGCAATCGGCTTCTCTGATTAGCCTCTCTCTAGCGTTGGTAGAGGGACTGTCCTCCAGAAGGTGCTGCTTCTTGACAAACAGGACTTTCACGGCCACTTTCTTTCTTTGGAACATCCCATGCTTGACAAAGCAACCCGAGCTTTGGCTTACTATTGTTTGGTTGATTTCCAGTGTCGGTGTCCTGTACGTGGAGGACAGGTGTTTGATGTGAAGGTCTTCGGGAAGGTCGTGCTGCAAATTTTGGTTTTTGGATACACAATGAACCAAAAACGTCCTTATTTCTTTATCAGGACAGAGAAGCACTTCTGAAGATCGCCGCTGAAGAAATGCACGACATTCCGGCCTTCTCTGCACTTTTGTATCTTTAAGGAGATTCACTAAGCATCCACCTGCTTCCGTCCTCATTTCTGTATCGTAGCAGGAAAAGCGAAATACACATGAAAAGTCACAAAGGCTCATGACACCGCTAAGATGATTTTTGACTTATGATTTTAGCAGAAAATTGTATAAGCTCGTGAAATGAATTACACTGAAAGAAACCAATGTGTTCTAATTTCTATTCCAAACATACACCACGTACCCATTTTGTTTTTTTAAAACACATGGGGTGACATGTCTGAGATCATGCTTTCTATTCTTGTTGTACGAACTACTTGAGTTCAACTGGAAGCTTCTGTCTCTAATTCAGTTCAACAGCCCTTGATTTTATAAATTTAGGAAAGTTCTATTTTTAAGGCTCGGCCCACCTTTCGTTGCGTTGTTCATCGCAATATCTGATAAAATCGACCCTGCTAACAAACAAAACCTCCAGTCATCTCCACCACCTCTCTTTAAATACTTTTCCACGAGAAGTCTGAATAGTTTCATGGCCCGTCTCTCAGTCTCCATTTGTGGAACAGGACGCTCACAGTATACCTGAGAGGAGCATGCATTCAATCAAATATCGATCAGTAAATGAGCTCATTACTTAATTGGTGCTCCTCTTTGCTTTCGTTTCCGTCAGAAACAAGCAGTGAATGGTAGCTGAAAGGGCAGCTTGATGCAGCTGAGTTTTAAATTGATGCCAAGGAAAAAAATAAAGGGCTTTGCGTTGATTGAAAGTTTTAATAGTAGGGATATGAATGTTCTTGGGCCTGTAATTTCTGAAAGTACCCGAAACAGCAGCCTCTTCGTTTAATTCTAATAACTTTTAAATGGAATTTTCAGGGTGTCATTTCAGATTCTGAGAAAACTGGATATCAGGAGTTTGGAGCCAATTGGGAAAATGACGACAATGTCCACTCATCAACACAGCATTTGTACTACAACGGAGTTTGCGCCAACGTTAGATGGTTTTAGGCAAACCAATGCGGGTGTTGATCAGATTTTTATTCAAAAACACTCGCATTGGTTTGAATTGTTTAAGGCTCTCTAGACTAGTCAAAAAAATAAAAAAGTCAAAAATCAAAGACTTACCTTCCCATGAACATAAATCAAGATACAGTGCAGATCAATCCACTTGCTATTCTTCTTGAGCCCTTGAAGAACCTTTAAATCGCCACTGGTGATTTTCCGGTTTGAGCAAAACTCTTGGCACTCGTCTAGCAGCACTTTCAACTTATCTTGAGGTTTCAACAGACACGGAATTGCCTCCTGGATGAACTCTATCGAATATCGGAAATCATCCTTCTTTTTGTTGTTCAGCTGATCGCCAAATTGTTTCAGCTCTTTCTGTAGCTTTTTAAGATCTAGCTCCAGGGTGTCGATACGCAAATCCCCCTTTCGAACTCGCTGTATCATTAGCAAGGACAAAATACGGCTGTATACGTAAAGTTTGAGTTCTCGTTCTGAATGTCGGTCGGTTTTGAACAGTCCCTCGGGCGAGAGAAAAGATGACCTTATAACGACTTCCGCAACCAGCACGTTCTCGTAGCAGCTATCAAAGTTGTCCTTGCAGATCAAAAGAAGAAGCAGCTGAAGAGCTTGCCTTACGACTTTGGCGCTCTTTCTGCTGCAAGATATTCTGGCTAAGATCTCGTAGATTTTCTCATTGCAAGAGAAGAATTTACCCCACGATTCTTCTAGATGCGGGAGAATTTCATGGAGTATGAAATCTTCTTTTTCCTCTTGAAGTGAACGTGCGTTGTTGTCCATGTCACAAATGAATTTCACTGGGTTTTCGAGAAATTCTTCAATCGACCATTTAAACGTG